CATATAAACTTCAAAATCAGCTTGTCAATATTCATAAAATAGCTTCCTGGGATTTTGATTGGGATGGCATATGAATCTATAGATCAATTTGGGAAGACTGACATCTTGACATTGAGTCTCCTATCCATAAACATGGGATATCTTTCCATTTATTTAGTTTTTCTTTGATTTTATTCATCATAATTTTGCAGTTTTCCTCATATAGATCTTATACATATCTTTATTAGATTTATGCCTAAATATTTAATTTTTTGGGATACTAATGTAAATGACATTGTGTTTTTAATTTCCAATTCCACTCACTCATTGTTGATATACAGGAGCTGATTTTTCTTTCTTTTCTTTTCTTTTTTTTTTTCTTTTCTGAGAGAGAGAGGGAGTATATGTGCGTACATGTGGGGCAGGAATGGCAGAGGGAGAGAGAAGAGAGAGAATCCTAATGCAGGGCTCAGTCTCACAATCTTGAGATCATGACCTGAGCCAGAATCAAGAATCAGACACTTAACCAGCTGAGCCACCCAGATGCCCTGGAGCTGATTTCATTTAGATAGTGAGGAGAGATGGCTTTACTGAGAATGTGTAGGTTGAAGCGAGATTTGAAGGATAAGTAGAAGCTAACTAGTGGCCTTTTGGAGGAAGAGAACAGGACAGAGTAAGTAAATGCTAGAGAACAGGAGAATGAATAAATGCTAGAATGCAGAGAGTAAGGAAATTTACAGAGTGATGTGGCTAGAGAGACAAATGGAGGGAACTATACGCCAGTGCTTAGTAAGTACTGTTTTTATATTATCAGACCTCTATTCTGAAAGGATTGGGAGGGCACTTGAATAAAGAATATACTGCAGATGAACTAAGATGAGGGCTATATGTCCCAGAATGGATTTGAAAGCTCTTAAGAAGTAAATTTCATAAGTCTGGGTAATGTAATGGACATGGCAGAATGATGCTTGAAAGAGGACCTGAGTGTAGTGAGGTTCCTTGTCTTAGGCAACTAATTCTGCAAAAGGTCCTATCATTTACTAAGATATAAAATGTAAGAGGAAGTTCAGTCTAGGGCATTATGAGTTTGAAGACCCATTAAGAAACTGGTAAAGTGGGGCGCCTGGGTGGCTCAGTAGGTTAAGCCGCTGCCTTCGGCTCAGGTCATGGTCTCAGAGTCCTGGGATCGAGCCCCGCATCGGGCTCTCTGCTGTCTAGGGGAGCCTGCTTCCTCCTCTCTCTCTGCCTGCCTCTCTGCCTGCTTGTGATCTCTCTGTCAAATAAATAAATAAAATCTTAAAAAAAAAAAAAAAGAAACTGGTAAAGTAAATGCCTGAATTTATAATTCCGGAGGTCAGAGAAGCTATCTGGACTATACATGTTTGTCATTGATATATAAATGGTAACTGAGGTCCTGGGACTGGATAAAAGTAAGAACATGGACTAAAAAGACAGAATGGTCTTAAGGACTCCACGATTTAATAGCAGAAAGGAGGGAAAGGAGCTTATTTTCATTTACACCCTTTAGCCATTGAATTGTCCCTCCAGCCTTTCAAATACTGATCCTTCTCCTGTGCTATGATTTCCATTCCTTCCATCTCATTTAGGTCCTTTTCTTTATCAATTGTCTAGAACTATTTTCCAGTGCCTAATTTTTCTCTTTAACAACAAAACTCGTCCCTTAAATGTTTGTCATCTCCTCTATCCCCCTTCATAGCAAAGCGTTCTAAAATGTAAAATGGTCTACTTTTATGGAATATTCAACTTCATTTGCCATTCAATTCTAAATACATTGTTTTACTTTTCAGTTTACTACTCCATCAAATCTTCCTTTAACAAAGCCTGTAAAACATTAATACTAAATCAAATAAACATTTCCAATTCTTATTTTACTTTCTTTTTCTCTGCCCTGGTTTTAAATGTCATGCTCCCCAAAGTTTATTCTTGGTCTTTTTTTCTTCTCAAAGTATACATTTCCTTGGTGAATTTATTCATCCTTTGGGGTAAACTCCCACCATGTGCTAATTAATTTCAAATTTACGTGTTTCATCTAGAGATCCCTTTCTCACATGGCCCAGTGTGTATTGGGTATCTCTACTTGGATGCTTCCAGGGTACCTCCATTTAAACATATTCAAAACAGATTTTAAAAACTCATTTTATGATCACCCATTCCCTAAAACAACCAACACCATAACAACAAAATTCCGCTATTTTCCTTTATTCTTTAACCTCTGCCATCCACAAACCTGCTCAGAAATCTGTCATCTTTGATTCCTTGTGTCAACTCTCCTTGGTCACATCAATTCTACTCCTCATAGTAATCTCTTAATTCATTCCATGCTTTTTATCTCAACCACAGTCAGCTAATCCATTCTCTTCTAGTATACTCTTAGCCAAAACATAACAATCAAATATGATCATTATGTTGTTGCTTTACTTAAAAATCTTCAATAATTTCTGTTTCCTATTATTTTTATAAAAAACAAGAGCCACAACCTTAAAAAAAAAAATCAATTAGATCTTTGTCTAACTTCTCCAGTCTCATCTTAGCACTCTGTATAAATCATGAGAAGCCTGCACAGAAGCAGTGAGAGCAGATTTGAAGAAACAGTCTTCCCATCCTGTGCAATGGCTTTCATTGTCTATTACGCTCTCATCTTTTATACTTCCTTCATCACACAGGTTAAACTTCCTCCTCAGGAGAAACTTCCCAAGGCTCCTCTCCGATCTCTCAGTCCAAGTTAGGTATACAGCATTTGTCCTCCATAGCACATATAATATACCTTATTATCCTGTTTACCACCCTGCTTCCCCCAACTATGAACTCAAACAAAAAAGAGACCATTCTTTCTCCTATAACCTGAATGCTTAGCATATTCCCTGGGATTTAGTATGTGCTCGATAAATAACTGTTAATTATTAAGTTGTTTTTAATCATTATTAACACCATACCTAAACATACCCTTTCCACAAATACCTCATTTATTCCAATGTTTTATATTCAACTCTATGTACTGGTAAATTCCAGTATTTGGCATTATTTGCTTTGATAGCAAAAGTTTTGTCTTTGTAAAAAAAAAAAAATTAAGACAGATTAAATTTATTCTATAATATTACATATATTATATATTGAAGATATAACTTCAAGAATGCCTTGCTGTGCATATATGGCATGATTTCCAAATTATGAAGTTGAACAAATTCTTCAGTTCTAATAATAACATAAACAAAGCAACATATCACCACTTTTAGAAAACTAAAGGATAAAGTAAATGGAGAGAAAACAAGGGAATATGTAGTAAAGAAGCCTATAAAAGTTCATTATTATTCCAAATTTTTCTGAGCAGCAAAAATATCCAATAAGTTTACATCTGAAATTAGACTGCTTTGTCCCTTTTTGTTTTGCCCTTCTTAACACTTATTTACTACAGAAAAAAAATTGGCACATACTGTCCAATGTGTTCACTTAAAGCATTATGCTGTTTTCTATGTATTAATCTCCCCCAAATGTGAACATTTTTAATTCTATGGATCTAAAGTGACACATTAGGTCTAAGCAGACAATAAGCACTCAACAGCTATTTACTGAATCATTTAGATTACAAATTTACACTGAGGAAAGGTTCTAAATTAAAGCATCTAAATCTTATCAAGCTTTCCAGTTGATATACTGTTAAACAGTAAGGTGGTTTGTTTTATTTTCTTAAGATTTTACTTTAAATACAAAAACAAAACCACCAGCCACTATTTCACAAGACTAATTGCAGTTTATCAAACAGAAGCCACCAAAAAGTTTTAATAAGTCACTGAGATTTAAAACAATTGGAAAGAATTTCAAAGAAATTTGGATAGATATATTTTCAATACATCATAGATCACTGTCAAAACCAATAATTCCATAGCACAGGCACAATTTGGGAGTCTTTTTTAGTTTAGACATTTGTCAATCATGAATACCTTTAAAAATCACTTACTCCTCCACCCAGCTCACTTTTGAGAAAAGTTTTAAATCCAAAGACACAGCTCTAATTGACATGTTTTTTCCACACATAAAATTCCTATTCTAATAAAAAAAGCTCTCAATTCAGAGTTCAAAAATCACTAGGAAAATAAAAGTACAGACACATCTAATACCAGTTTTTTGGGAAAAGAGACCTACAGTATTTTCTGTTATTTGCAGCTGCCTTAACAGCAAATGACAATTAAATGTGTGAACAAGGTTGTCAGAGTAACACTTGTCATTCACACTACTTATAGAAATGCGCCCCAAGACTTCCAGAAGCACTAATTAAAATTAACGAAAGCTTCTCAAGGGGACTTGTCAGAGAAGTACATTTTGTCATTTGCTGTTTGAGACAGGAAAACCAAATCTCCTCAAAGCTCAAGTTTTCCAGCTAAAGTCTAAATCCAACCCACCTGCCTGCCACTGGCACTGTCGAACTGAGCCCAGATGCTCAGCAAGCAACTCATTAAGAGTTCCAATTTCTTCAATAAAACACAACCAGTCGGAGAAAAACAAAACAAAACAAAACAAAACAAAACAAAAAAACCTGATGGTAAAGGCGGAATGAATTTTCTCTCAGAAGTCAGAGAAGGGGCGAGGGAAAATATCTTTCCTCTTTTCTAAGGACCAGAGGAAGGTGCAAATTACTGGCAGTTACTTGATATATCGCTCCACTAGCTTTTTTTTTTTTTCTTTCTTTCATTCTGCGTGAATGAAGATACTCAAAACGAGAAAAATGTTGAATGATATTACCCACCTCTAACCCCAAAGAACCAAGGAACACTCTCACCCAGGACTCAGGTGGGCCTTTCTCACCTGGGCCCAGCAGAAGTCCGCGGTCTCCACGTAGAGCGCACTTTTCAGCAATACTCCTTGCGATTGGTTAACTGGGAAGAGAGCTCTCAATTCTATTGGCCACGGGAGCGGAGATAGTGGGCAAGGAGGCGGGTGTTTGGGGCTGGCTCTGACGGGTTTGCGGCTTGAGTTCCCACAGTTCCTATTGGGTCAACGCGGGAAGTTCCAACATGGCGGCCGCGGCGACCTGCGGCACCGGCGCTGGGAGTACTGGATCTATAGGGGCAGCAGCATGCAAGAACAACGTCACCAGTTTCCAGAGGAAGGGTCCTAGAGCAAGCGGTACAGACAGCGGCTGTTCTCGACTGGTGTCCATCGCGGGCACACGACCGTCGGTGCGGAATGGACAGCTGCTGGTATCTACCGGGCTCCCAGCCCTGGACCAGCTCCTAGGTCGGTTCAGAACGGAGATTTGGGCTCAACAGAGGGAATACTTAGGGAGGGCACCTGCCAGGGAAGCCGCCCTAACCTCATATTTATCTCTCACCCCTCAGCCTTCGGACTTGGAAAGGATAGTCTGGTCTGATAGAGATGTAGGGGAGGAAATGTTGTAGGGAGACTCCTAAATGCTGTTACTGCTCCCACTTTGTACTGTGGTTCTGGCCCACCAGCCTTTCTAGGTTACGACGGGATCCCTACATGGTTTTATCTAGAAATACTATCTAGTAAGGAGGAATCATTAATATTTGGAGACGGTTTGGCCTTCAACTCCAGGATCCTCTCCTGGTCTCTGCACCGTTCTGCCAACCCCAGATAGCTCGTGGTTTCGCCTAACCTACAAAGTTTGTTATCATTGTGAGAGATGGATTTCATTTAGAAAATGCTGAAAAAAAGTAACTTCCCCACTTTCACCGCCAGGCTGCTTATCTCCTGGTTCTGAATCTTTAAACTGTTGGCTTTAAGAGAATGGATGTTAAAACACTTACGTGGGTACAAAGTAGTTAAAGCCTGTTGTTGATATCGGTGGTCGTACTAGTAGACTGCGTTAAATATATTTGTATATATTTTTGTTAAATTTTTTCTCTGTATATTTTGCTTCCCAGAGTTAACATTGCGAATGATATGTTTAAAGTTAATTCACATTTTAATGAGAAAAAGAAATCCAGTCCTTAGGCTTTTTTGTATAATCTTTGTAATTTTTCATGAGAAGCCTGCTGAAGAACAGCTTGTTTCATAACTGTTAACGTTGCGAAGATTGGCCACATTAGATTGCTAGGACAGAGCTGCTGTGTTAATAGAGCTTGTAAATTAGTTGTCTTATCAGAATGTTGCTTCATTAAAATTGGTCTATGTTTATATTTCATAACTCTATATAGTATGTGATCTGTGTCAGTTAAGTCTTGTACATTTTCATAAAATATTACAAATGCCATTGCTTGTTCTTGTACTACACTTGAAATTTCTCTCTGTATTACATTTTCCCCCTCAAGGTACACTCTTCAGATAGGTTTAGTGCAAAGGAAATTGACAAGGCAAGCAACCTTTGAGAAAGAACACAGCTTCTTGCTTGTTATGTCATGTTCTTAACTGAATCCTGGTTATTTCTACACAAATTTGAGTATTTGCACTTAATTGTCTCAAGTATTGCCTTCCTAAATTGCATGGTGCTGAAAACAAATGATCCAAAATATATAGTTAGCAAATATTTATCTCAGTTTTTTTTGTTTTGTTTTGTTTTGTTTTGTTTCTTTCCCTGTTGAGCTTTGCTTGGTATCATCCTATACTTGAATTTAAAGTCTGGAAGCTGTTCCTAGTCCTTACCTTTTTCCCCCCCTCCCTAATTCACTGGAGATATGGAACTGTATTCACTTGATCCTGAATCTCTTCAAACAAAAAGGTCAAATTTCTGACATTATACCTTCAGTTTCTTATTAGAATAACAAAATTTGCCTGGCACAGTTCCTGGCACATAGTTGATTCTCATTAAGTTCTTCATTGAAAGAGAACTGCATAGGAAAAAAAAAACAACAAAAACCTGGACAAGAGATTATGAAAGAGGTAGGATGAGTTATGTGTGAGCTCTAGAAGCAGATACAGTGACATGAACAGAGTCATTAAAGCTAGAGACAGTGTAGGCTGATATTCAGGCTTCAAATTTAGTGTTACTGCACTGTGCTACAGCTGTTTCAAATTTTTGAGAACTCTTTTGAAATGGCTTTAAGCATTTATCAGACCCAAGACTAATGATTTAAGTATGTCTTTTAAAGCACCCACTAAAAAGTTAACCTAAAGCACTATATATAAATATTTCATTTATATTTAAGTGTTTCTACAGTGATATAAACTTGAACTGTAATTTAAAAATCTTCCAGATTTGCTTGCGAGGGACACTAGTATTTGATTGTAAAAAGCTTATGCTAAAAATTGGTGTTTGTTTAAGATAATTGAAATAGGCATTAGTTTGGGGATATTTTGAAATATGTTTTGCATGTGTACAGTTAATTCTCAAAGTGCACAGAAGAGGTTGTTATAATAGGAGTTAGTACATTTGGAATAATAAATATGTCCAGAACTATTTTAGTTGTTGTTAACTTCTTAATGACATTTTTGTATTTTTATTTTTTATTTTGTATGGCTCTGTAGAGCAAATCCGTTACATTCGTTTTTCATTAAAACATTATTTGGAAGTGAAATGTTTGGCTGCTAATGTGTGTACACATAAATATAAGTAATTCAGATTATATTGTTACTCTAAAATATTTGACTCAGATTATGACAAGCCTAATATAACCATATTGTGACAAGACACAATGATAGCAGGATGTTTTATCAGAATAGTAGAACTATACTATGACATCGTGACTGTTGCCTAAATATATTCTGTGGTTACTGTGAAACAAGTAAATATTGTATTGTCACTACCATGCAGTGCAATGATATTTCTACTACCACTGTGATGTCAGTGTAATTTTAAGCATAGATTCAAAATATATTTAAGTATATTTTTGAATATATTATACAGGCAAATTGAATGTTGATCATTTGAAGATACGCTAATATTTCCATTCCTACTCCCAAATGCTTTATGAATTTGACAATTCCCCATATCAGCATCTTTTTTAAACATGGTCTAATCATATCAAAAACTTTTGTTCTCACAACTTAAATTTTGTTAGATATTGATGTACATTTCCCAAGTTGGCCACATTGAAATTTTCAACTTCCAAGATTTTTCTAACCCAGCTTCTCTACCCTGTCCTTCCAGGACATTTATGTCATTATATGAGGACACTATATGTATATAAATATTTCATTTCCCTTCTTCCAGTAATCACCAAGAAGTTTACAGTGGATAAAGGATTCTGGCAGAATTTCTTTCCTTTTTTTTTTTTTTTTTCTCCCTAGGGCAAAAGGTATAGCTCATCTTAGGATCATATTGTCTAACTTGGGGGAATTCTCTCCCAGGCTCATCCTTCAAAAAGGTACTTTAAGGAGGGGTGGTATCTCAGGTTTGACTGGTTTAATTAATGTGCTGTTTGGAACTTACTCAATTTTGGAAATCAGGTGAACGGAAGATAGGGATTTGGGATAAAGAACAGTCCAGGAAGAATACTCTAAAGAAGCTTGACGATAGCTACCATTATCAATGCTAATGTTAAAAAGTGAATACTAGTGGGCTTATTTCCTTTGCTCCACTGTATCTTAATTAGAATGTGTGATATATGTTGAGTTTGGACTATATATTAAAAATAATCCTTATTTTTATGGTTGTGATAGTTTAGTAATGGCTGTACATTTAAGGAAAATGTAGCTTATTCATTTGTATTGATACATAAACTTGTTTCATGTAATTTAATGTATAGAACCATTCTGTTTATAGCTTTTTCTGTTTTGTTTCCTATATTTTCCCAGCTAATCGTTGTGATAATCAAGAGTTGTCAGGATGTTTCCTACCTCCCAGAGAGAGAAGAAAAAGTAGACTTGTTAATGAAATGAACTGCAGTTTAATTTGAGGCATGGCATTAATTAAATAGTTCAGGACATTGCTGTGAACAAAGGAAGGGATAGGAACTGTTTGTACTTTGCATTTTCCCTAAAATGACCTATAATTTTATACAAAACTATTCCTTTATAGAAAGGACTGCTATAAATCACTGTTGTCTTTTCTGACTTTTATTTCCTTTCCCTTTTACTTCCCCTAACTTTGAAAAAGGAGAGGCCCTTATAAAGTAAGGTATCACATTTGGGTCGTTATATCCTAATACATTAATTTGACCTTGCTTACCCAAAATTTATAGCTTAACTAGAGATCTGCTTTGGGAAGTGTAAATGGTGATTGAATTTTCTCCCTTTAATATAATTTTCTGGGGCTCCTGGCTGGCTCGATTGGTAGAGTATATGACTCTTGATCTCAGGGTACTAATGGAGTTCTGAATTTAAAGATCCATTAAAATGAGCTTTGGTTGAATGTATCATGTCAAGATCCCCTGTCATGGCTGGTTGCTGAAGCTTTTTATTTTTTGATGAGTACATGGATACAAACTTATTCAAACTTACTGTAGTTTAAAATACAGTTAGAACCAGTATATCGTGAGATATATCAAAATACTTTATGCAGAAGTGTTTTAGGGAAATGTGAGGTCTCATCACCCTGAAATTTCAAAGAACAGAGGAACTTTGCTGTTACATAAATGTATGTGTCAAATCATTTTCCCTCATACACAGAATAAAAGCTTAATTTTTAAAATAATAAGGCGGCTTCATCTTATTCCCCATGACCAATGTCCGAAATGACCAGCCTATACTAAAGCCATCCAAATTTAAGTCTAGTGAATTTTCATGATAGAGCCCTTTAGAAAAAAAGATAATTGCCTTTTGTAAGAGAAATCCTGATATTATATTCAAATGTCTGATTAAAGTCATTAACATATCCTCATTTTGTGTTGTTTTGAGTAATGTTCACATTTTCCAAACATTAGAAATTGAATGTACATAAGATTTAAAATTTAATTGGGTGGCATTTCCTGAATTATCAGAAACTGGTTTATTTGAATCATTCTTACAGAAAATTACCTTCTTAGTGTACTCTCATTTGTATAATGCTTTGCTTAACTAGTTCATCAATAGGAAGTGTTCTAATTCTTACTATTATAATGATCACTATTTATCAAATAATGGCATATCTATAATGATTTGTTCTAATTAGAAAATAATTGCCAGAATGGTAATAGCTCTTACTGAGTACCTTTCTGAGCCAGACACTTGAGCTAGGTATCATTTCATTTAATTGGGAAACTATTCCTGGATCTATTCTTATCATCCCACTATGAATGACATTCACAAAAAGTCTTCAGTTCTGTATCTAACTGTTCCAGTTGTAGGCCTCATATAAATTCTTAATTTGAGGCTACATGAATGTAGACCCAGGGATGTTTAGACAAGAAATCTAAATCTTTCCTATAAGAAATAGATTAAGGAACGGAAACCAGGTAACTTTTTTTAATAGTACCTGCTCTAGGCTAGACCATGCAGTATCTGTTATGTACCTCTATTAGTTTGTCTTAAATATACACAGAATGGTGAGTAGGCATTTAAATGCTTGTTTTGCATGTAAGAGAGAAATAAGGAACTGGAAATTTAAAATGCTCAAAGTGCATTAATCAAAAAAATTAAGTGCTCAAAATGGATTAAAAAATTTAGTAGTGGTTTATATGTAGCACAAACTATAAAAGTAGACATTTAGCCTAATCTTAGAGAAAATCTTTTTGCTCAGATCTTTTATGGTTGTTTTCATCCTATATATTCCATTTTATGTGATTCTTTTAGTTCGAACAAAATTTGAAGTTGTCCTGTATAGTCTGGTATGGCTTTAAATGCTGCATTGAAAGAACCTATCTAAATGTGAAATTAAAATACATATTTAGTGCGATAACAAATCCACCTAAACATTAAAATATATATAAAGTGCTAGTTTATTTTTAAAATCTTCTCTAACAATTTGAAATGTTCTATTTAGAGTCATAAAGTCACCAAATATAGCATTGTGTTCTATGTTCATGTATATTACCAAATTTCAGACTCTTTGAACAATAACATTTATGCATATTTGCAAGGCAAAAAGTAAACACTGTCAAAGGAACTTTACATACTAAGTTGTTCTATATAATGTTTGCCACTACAAAATTTGTTGGGGGAAAAGTTTTTTACTGGTACTCTAATTATTTCTTTCACAGTTTTATGCACCAAAACCAAAGACATTGGTAGGATTGTCTTCAATTGTCCAACAATTTTGAGTAGTTTCTTTTTAAATTACTTTAGATACATTTCATCCTTCGATATTCATATTTCATTCTATTTTAAGTGAATTTGCTAGTATAATTTATAAAATAGGAATACTTTTACAAATGGTTTTACAAATGTTACGCAAAATATTTGTACTCAAATGTCTTTTCATTGTAGTTCTAGTTATCTATAATTTGACTTCAAATTGATTTTTATTAAATCACTATTTGAGTTATATGCTTATGACAGTACTGCTCTAATTCAGATATTCAAAAGAACATTTTCTGCTATTATTAAAAATGTATTCTGGGGGTGCCTGGGTGGTTCAGTGGGTTAAAGCCTCTGCCTTCAGCTCAGGTCATGATCCCAGAGTCCTGGGATCAAGCCCCACATCAGGCTCTCTGCTCAACAGGGAGCCTGCTTCCCACTGTCTCTCTGCCGGCCTCTCTGCCTACTTGTGATCTCTGTCTGTCAAATAAATAAATAAATAAAATCTTTTAAAAAAATGTATTTTGTAATTGTGACTTTTTTGTTTGAAATTATGAAAATATTGTTTATTTTAAATTCTAAATGTATTTGTGAGTATGTCCAACTTCGTGTGTATTTTCCTATTGAAAAAAGGAATTACTTTTAATTATCGGGGTGTTTTTCCCCAAGGCTTATTAAATTTGAGTGTAAATACTAAAGTGGAATTTCTATTATAATAACCTTTCCTATGTTGTACTTGTGTAGTATTAAGTTACTGTGAACATTAGGTCTTGGCTATTGAGTTAATTTATTAACAGGTACTAAATGTAACATTATTAGGACACATAACCACAGTTATGTTGAATGCTGCATGGTCCTATCACAGGAGAAGAGTGGATAGTACAGTATATTATGAAAGTAATTGTAATGTGTAGTGTGTAATTACATATAATATATAATTATTTCATAATAGCACCTTAAGCAAAGTATCTCCAAGGTAATTAAAATGTTGTTCTCATCTGCAATTTTAAAGTTAGTGAAGTAGTTGTCCTTGATAAAGCTTAACTTTTATGCTAAAGATAATGTGTATGAAAGGGTAGATTAATTTTTTCTTGGTTTTGTTTTGTTTCCAGGTGGAGGTTTGGCTGTTGGAACAGTTCTTCTAATTGGTTAGTATAGCATATACACTTTGTTCTTCCTGATTAGAGTTTTCTATTGTGCATAATGATTTTATGGGTTTGCCAATTCTGATATTAAATATATAACTTTCTATAAGAGTTAAGCTAAATTAGAAAAGAAATGCCATAAGTTTTAATTTAAATTCAAATGTTGATCCAAACTTGGAATAAATGAAGCAAATATATCTGCAAATACAGCTCTGGTAATTTAAAAATGTTCACAGTCCATTGTCCTCCGTATCTTTTTAAAAAGGTTAAAATTAATGCCAATTGTGTTTTTTTTTGGGGGGGTGGGGGACATCTCTGTATGCAAGCGAGATTATTGTAGTGATTAATTTGAGAAGTTGTAACAATAAGTCCATTGTATATATATCATGCATTTTTATTACTATTTTCTTCTTATTGAAAGAAAAGTAACAGACTGATAAAGCATATTCTTGTTCACCTTTAAGTGCCAATAGTTCTTATTTAATTATACATACATAATCCTATTTGCCTTATTGTTTAGTTTAGATTATAGAATCTGGAATTGAAATAAACCTTGGCAGTTATGTATTCAAAGTTCCCAACTAGCCATAAATCACTTTTTGATCATTGTTGACAGTATCAAACAATTTGGATACAGATTATATAATTTAAAGGGCTAACTACTTCACAAAACTATGAATTATTATTGAAATTATTAGAAAATTCTTTTTTAAAATATGTATTTGAGAGAGAGAGCAAGCACAAGCGGGGGGAGCTGCAGAGAGAGAGGGAGAACAGACTCCCCACTGAGCAGGGAGCCCAACGTGGGGCTCAATCCCAGCACCCCGGGATCACAGCCTGAGCCAAAGGCAGACACTTAACCAATTGAGCTAGCCAGGCGCCCTAGGAAGTTCTCTATATTAGTGTTTAATCTATATAATTTAACAGATTTGTTGTTTCTAATTTTGTTCTCTGATTTAACTTGCATATTTTTTCACATGACACTTTTAAAATGTTTGAAAATATTTTATTACCTCAAATCTTCTTTAAATGAAATAGACACAGCTCCTTAAACTCTTTTTAATGTGTTGTGGCTTTCATGTTCCTTACTCTCCTGGTTGTTCTTTCATCATACCCATCAAACTGATGTTGTCTCTTCAGCTGTGCTCACAACTGAATACAGTATTCCAAATTTACTATGCTTATACTTGGACTACAAATTGTGATAATCTAGATAGAATTATTATTTCTAGGCACCAATAAAGTTACTCTATATTCATTGACTTCTCTTAAGGTAGCAATGAAATGTGTTACCCTGCCCCAGGAATGCAAAATGGTGGTGTTTTAAATTTAGTATGTACATAAGCATTTGTCTGATAAGTAAAGCTCTATCTGGAAAACTCAAAAGAAATGTGTAGTACATCTTATTCCCCATCTCTGCTATATAATTAAAGAGTAATAATAATAGTGAGAGCTGCCCTTTTCTTACTATGGGTCAGTATTGTGCTGTTTTTATTTATTTTTATTTTTTAAAGATTTTATTTATTATTTATTTGAAAGAGCACAAACAAGCAGAGGGAGAGGGAGAAACAGGCTTCCCCCTGGGCAGGGAGCATATCACAGGGCTCTATCCAAGGACCCTGAGATAATGACCTGAGCCAAAGGCAAATGCTTAACCAACTGAGCCACCCAGATGCCCTATGCTAAGTGTTTTATACATGGTTTTTCCCTTAACATAACAACCTTGTAAGATGTTACATGTAATCCGTATTAACCCCATCTTATACTTAAAGAAATAAGGCTCAGAGGGTGAAGTAATTTTCTCATTATCACACGGCAAGTGAAAGAACTAGGATTTGAATTCTGGTATGACTGAAAGGCTATGTTTTTTTATAACTGCTTTGTAGCTTTCTTACATGCTTCATTTAATAGCCATAAACAGTAAAATAGGAGTTTTATACCTAGTTAATTTTTTAAAAAGATTTTATTTATTTATTTGAGAGAGAGAGCATGAGATGGGAGAAGGTAAGAGGAAAAAGCAGACTCCCCAAGGAGCAGGGAGCCTGATGCAGGACTCGATCCCAGGACACTGGGATCATGATCTGAGCTGAAGGCAGTCACTTAACCAACTGAGCTACCCAGGCACCCTGTTTTATACCTATTTAGAATAAAGTTTTAAGTAGTAAATTAAGCCTACATTGTGGGGGTTTTTTCTTTTAATAAATTTCCAAATTTCTAAACTTGAAAGAGCCCTCATTTAATTAATTCACAATAAGGATAAAAGTTGTAGCAATGCCAAAAAATTCTTTTTTTTTAAGAGTACAAACTGGTGGTTGCCAGAGGAGAGGACAGTGGCAGGGGGCCAATGGAGTTGAAATGGATGAAGGGGAGTGGGAGATACAGGCTTCCAGTTATGGAATGCATTCATCACAGGGATGAAAGGTAGAGCAGAGGGATTGTAGTCAATGATATTATGGTAGGGTTATGTGATGACAGACTGTAGCTACACATGTGGTAAACGTAGCATAAAGGTGTAGAAGTATTGAATCAATATGTTATACACTTGAAACTAATGTAACGTTGTGTGTCAGCTGTACTTCAACAAAAAAATAAATAATAAAAATAGACTTTTTAAAAAAGAAAAATGCTTTTATTTTACATAATCAGCATTTCTTCATTCTAGGTGGAAAGTTTTGTCTCCATAATAGTAAAAGAATATACAAAGGCTATTAATTAAGATTTTTCAGGTGTGCAATATTTGTTAAAGATAGATTTGTATAGTTGTAGCTTATTGCTGCCTAAAATATATTAATTTTTACAAATGATGCTATTGAGTCATGTTGGTTCTGTGTTCAGTCATCATATTTTAACCCAGCCATTAATTTCCATGCAGCTCTTGGTTGCAAAATACTTGCCAAGTTTTTACCAGACATTTACTTCAATCACTACAATGTAATTTTCTGGACACTTACCTAGGGCTTAGTGCCCAAGTATCTGAATAATAGACATTTAATAAAAATATGTTCTATAAAATATTTGTGCCCTCATCGGTCTTTAAAGTACTATTTAAGAACCTGAGGTACAGAATTATTCTTTTTTTTTTTTTTTTTTTTTTTTTTGACAGAGAGCAAGATCACAATTAGGTAGAAAGGCAGACAGAGAGAGAGGGAGAAGCAGGCTCCCCGCTGAGCCTGATGCAGGGCTCGATCCCAGGACCCTGAGACCATGACCTGAGCCGAAGGCAATGGTTTAACCCACTGTGCCACCCAGGCGCCCCCAGAATTCTTCTTAACAGTAGACGTAAGAGGGAGAAATACCCTGTAATTGAGAAGTTTTAGAAATGGTGATGTCAGTCTCATTTTTAAAAACTTATCTTTTAATAAATAAGGAATGAATGAAGGATTTTATGGACAAAATATTTCAGTTTTTAATGTCAATAAATAAATACATAAAATAGAAAAGGATACGTACAGAATATTAGGTTGTCCTTTCAGTTGCTCCGTCCCCGTACCCAGAGACAATAATGTTCTGGTATCCTCCCCAAATATTTCTACTGAAATAAACATGGGGGCACTCTGCTTTTTCCACTTAATACGTCTTAGAGATCAGTCCATGTGCAATCATATGTTTATTCTAACAACTCTATAAGATTCCATTATATGGATGTGCCATAATTTATTTAAATAATTCTCAATTGATAAATTTAAGTTCCATTCTTCCGTTGCTAACAATGCTGTTGTACATAATCTTGTATATAAGCTTTGCAAACGTGTAAATATCTGTAGAATAAATTCCAAGCTACAGACTTGCTTAGTTGAGGCATGTTAAATTGTATTAGATATTATTAGATTGTTCTCCCAAGAGGGATATGCCATCTTTTACTTCAGACAGTTAACAGTTATAAGAATACACCAGTGAGTTTACCTTCACCCTTAACAACACTGTGTATTAACGAACATTTAAATCTTTACCAGTCCGAACAAGTCAAAAGTGAAGAATGGCATTTCCTCACTTGAGCCTGGGACTTTGTGCTTTGATGACTAAAAACCTGGGGAGTTACTATAATAGTTTCTAAAATGTGCAACTAAATTTTAATTCTTTTCTTGAGGGGAAGTATCTGTGAATGATTGATAATTCATTCAGTAAATGTTCGTTGGGGTTACAAATACCAAACAGGGGCTCTCTTCCCTTAAGGAACTTTGCACCTATGGAGGAGAGATAGGTAAAGCAAATAATTACAATATAATAAGTTAAATACCATAATAGATGTGTCTGTTATTATACTTTAACATGGGTTGGAGCCAGAACAAGGGGTGGCTGTTGATTTTTGTATATTGTTCTTATAACCTGCAACTCTTGAATAGTTTATAGATTCACTTGAATATAATGAGTAGGCAGTCATCTTTGGCAAATACTGACAATGTTACTTCATGACTGGCATCTTGCAATTGGATGCTTCCATAACAAATAGGAAAAAGAGGAGTGTGGCTTTGGAAACGGTAGTAGGCAAAAGCTGGAAGGATTTTAAGGAGCATATTAGTTAGAGGAAGCCTAAATCGCCACGAACAGATGATTAGTGGAAATCTGTACTCTGATGACACTGCTAGTGAGAGTGAAAAGGAACTGAGATCCATGTTACCGAAAGCTGGAGCATAGGGCATCCTTGTTAAACAGTGGCAGAAAGCGTAGCAATATTGTTGTCTGCAGTTGTATGGGAAGAAAACCCATGCCTGATGAACTTGATGGTCTAGCAAAGGAGATTTTTTTTTTTTTTATAGTGAGTAATAAGGAAAAGCTCAGACAAGAATAACTAAAGCATAGTAACAGATTTTTTTTAAAAGTCTATCTTTGGTGAAATATCAATTCACTGACAAATTATTTACTAGTATTCAATAATTGTTAAATTAATGATTGAATAAAAGAATATGACAGGTATAAGGCAAACACCTTGCCTTTATAGTCTGTTTTTTCTGTGAAGCTAATAGTTTGAATCTTCTCAGTATTATTTATGTCCTTCTATCAAC